CACTGGCCCAGGCTGCCCAGGGAAGTGGTTGAGTCCCCATCCCTGGAGGTATTTAAAGGATGGAGAGATGTGGTCCTCGAGGACATGGTTTAGTGGTGGCCTTGGCAGTGCTGGGTTAACAGTTGGACTCGATGATCTTAAGGGTCTTTTCCAACCTTAACGATTCTGTGATTCTATATTTGGTGGCATGAGCAAGAACTGATCTTTTCTCTTGGCCAATTCCCAACATGTCCAGATGTAGTGGGTGTATTTGGGTGGTTTAAATGATAAACAATGTAAACAGAATTCTGTATCAAATATGTACAAAGCTCACAATATAGACACATTCTTCAGTTTAAATTTAGATTTACACTCAAACTGCAGGTAATACTTAAACAAATAAAGGAGAGCAGTAAGTATGCGCAGGCATGAAACGTCTACCTCGCTGCTTTGTCAGAGCGACTCTGATAAAATTCTTCGCGGCTATAATTCTTTAGTCAGCCCGAAGTGATTGTGCTCAAAAGAAACCACTGCGTGGGCGAACTTTTCTTGGCTATTCTCGGAGCAATATGCTTTCAGATGAAGTCAGTTTTATTTAAAAAGTGATGTGTAATCGTTGTGTTCCCAGGTCAAAATGTAAATAACTCATCAATAAGGTTGTAAGTGTAATTTATTTGAGGTGTGTTGGGGAGAAAACTTGAAGTATATCACAATAAATATGGGTGGCAATAAAATACAGATTAGCTCTGAGTTTTGCAGGCTCAGACTCAAATTCCCCAAAAATTGCCTCTTGAACTGAAAAGCGATTATTATGTTTCTTTGTGTATCCACGTCCACCTCTGTGTGCATTGCATACTTTACCTTCCTCCTGCAGTCGAATGCGTTGTTACGGATGTAAGCCACTAACAGATTTGTTTGCGTAGTTGGCAGGACTATGGAAATCAGGAGTGTATCCCTTCTAGAATATGTCTTAAAATGAATTGCATGCGTATTGGGCACACAGTAGCCCCCTGTACAGTAGGAACATTTGGCTCGTGTTTCCTGCTCCATCACCTGCTGAGACTTAGAGTCTACATCTGTACTACTGCAGCAGGAGGCATAAGTTGCAGCAAGAAAAATCCTGATGAGATAGTAAGAAAAATTACCCACCGAGAGGACGTTGAAGCACTGGGACAGGGGCCCAGGCCGGCCATGGAGTCTCCATCCTTGCAGACAGTAAAAACTGGCTGGAGCAGGCCCTGAGCAACCTGATCAGGTTTAGCCCTGCGTTGAGCAGGGGGTTGGACCAGATGATCTAAACAGAGGAGGACCAAGGAATTTGTTCCTCCTCAGGAAGGCTGGTGGTAGAGCCTGGTTTGCATCCACACTGCTGGGACCTGACCATGTCTTACCCCATTGTGCTTGGACCTGGGACTCCTCCAGCCTCTGTGTAATGCTCTTCAGTCCCCAAGATTTTTGGTTTGGGTTGTTGGGTTTTCTTCCAGTTCTACTGCCTGAAATAACCTGAGGGAGGTCCCCCAGAGCTGGGTTTACAGGATGAAGCTGTTTCGTGCCTGAGGGTGGGAGAGTGTTGATGGACCAAGCAGGGTGGACGGAGCCAACTCGGGAGCAGTCTCATCCATTCTGGGTTTGCAGCAGTCCCTGAAGTAAACTATTTTGAGAATTATGGCTGTGTATTTCTGGCAAAGATTAAGGTAAACCAGTCTAAAACAGGGCCGGGAAACATGCTAACACTTCAGCATAGGCTCAGTCGGGACTTGGGTGCTTGAGTCTGCTCCTGGGGCATTCTTCCCTAGTGCCATAGATGCGCCCTGTGGTTTCTCGTGTTTGCCAAGTAACTCTGCTAGGAGTTAGTTTTCTGGAGCGTGCTTCCTTAGAGGCTTCCTTAGAGATTGAAAAGCTGGTCTTTTGCATGGCTACCTGTGAACCAAGCAAATGTGGGAGTAACTTGTGTTTGCGGGGTAAAAGGCTAGTTTGGGATTTGCACTTGCAGGAGAAATAACGACGAGTTGGATGTCCTGGCGTAGGGCATGCCTCTCCTTTGAAATAAGCCATGCAGCATAGATGAATGCGTTGGATAACATAGGATTGTCTCTTTTGGGGCAGGGGGGGTTGGTTAGAGACCATTTCCTCCTTTTCCTTACTTGCAAGGGTAGGAATGGATAGTCAGTGTTGCTTGTTTTGGAAGAACGATCATCTGGAAGTCGTCTGACTGCCGTATCTGATAGATGTGCCCACGTCGAGCTGTGCAAAAGGATCGAGCGCTGAGATTTTGGAGGAACTTCGACCAAGCTGGTTCCCTCTCTAGTAACGAGGAGCCAGGTTTGTGCCTGTAGATGGACACGCAGTAATGCCAGTCCTTTCGCCTCCTGGTCACGCTTGGTGCTTCTCAGCTGAGGCATGTGCATTTGGACGTATGTATTAAATTGCCAGCTCATCCTTAAATAGCAGCCTCCAGTGAACTGTAAACGCAACGCAGAACGTGCTGTAGCCAGGAATCTGAGGAAGGAGGAATTCCACCCAACAGAACTGCCGAGACTTGAAAATCTAGCTAGGTTTTTCTTCTGGCAACTTCAAAGCTAGCAGGTCTCTGTAAACGCAGGCTCTGGAATTACTACAGCGGCTAATAAAGGGTTGTCGTTCTCTTCAGTGGTTTGTAGAGCGAACAGGGAAAGTTGTACTTTGTTATAGTCAGGAAAATGAATAGATACTGCTGAATAAAGAAGTTATTAACTTCTCTAAAATTCTGCTTTTGCTATGGTTATATCTGTAAAGGGCAACATCCAGTATACAGGTGTCTGCTTTAGTCAGGCTTCCTGAGCTCGTGCTTTCCCTGCTCATCCCTACCGCTAGCGATATCTCATTTCGTTCATTGTTACGATGTTATTTCATTGACATTTTGAGGGAACAACGTATTCTAAATAAATACATAGCTTGCCTTGCTTATAGGAATTTGATACCCTACCTAAAACTAATACAGATGTATCGTTTTACAGCGCCTCTGCGCTCCAGGGGGATGACAGTGTGGGAGCGAGGAAGGAAGCGGATCGGTTGGTGAGAAGTAAAGCTTGAGCAAATTTAGAGGTTCTCCACCTCAGGGCTCTGAGTTACGATTAATTGTTGAAAGTTCTGAAAGTAATTTATTTTAGTTCACAAATTCATGCTACCTTAAGTTTTAAGGTGTGCGAGCTCACAGCGTGGGAAATTCAGCCCAGGAATTACCTGCTGCCAATAAACTGCAAACGGAGGTTGTACGCTTGATTTAACACCAACACCTTTTTTTTTTTTTTTTTTTTCCCTTCCTTTTCTCTTCAATCCTTCCCTCTCCTGGGTGTCCCCCCTCCCCTTCTCCCTCAGGCCTGTATAGATGAGAACAAACGGGGGTTTTGTCCTTTTTTTAAACCCCAACCCTTTTTTTTTTTTTTTTTTTTCCCTTCCTTTTCTCTTCAATCCTTCCCTCTCCTGGGTGTCCCCCCTCCCCTTCTCCCTCAGGCCTGTATAGATGAGAACCTGGACATGGTGAAGTTCCTTGTAGAAAACGGAGCCAATGTGAACCAGCAAGATAACGAGGGCTGGACCCCTCTCCATGCAGTGGCATCGTGTGGCTATCTCAACATAGCAGAGTGAGTGAGTTTCAGGCTATTCGGGGTATTGATAACGCTTTCCACGTCTTCCTCTTCCGAGCAGGTACACAGGCAGTTGATGCTCTGAGATTTATACAACGGCTTGGGAAGCAATGCTGCAAATAGATGCATTTCTCCTGTTACTGAATTCTTAATTTGTGAGGATTAAGGTGGAGCCTGCAACTGGTTGCCTTTTGCTGATCCCATTACAGTGACTTATGATTCATTAGATACTTTAGCTAAAATGCCAAGCAAAAGGGAAGCACGATGGCTGACAGACAGGCACGCTAATACAGAGACGGGTGATGAAGCACAGCTCTGCTGCTGCTGGCTGTCTTTGCCGTGCGCCTCCGTCAGCGGGGAGCCCGTGTAGAATTTTAAGTGTTACCTAAGAGCAATTTGGGTTTTTATTCCTCCAACTGAAAAGAATTCTGTTGCTGTACAAAATGTCTGTTAGTGTAGCTACACGCATATAGCTATTCTGGTGTAAACCCCAAATAGTAGATAGATGGTGTGCTATAAAACAGTTCAAAGGGGGACTGCACCAACGCTTACCCTCGCTCTGAGGCTTTGCAGAGCGACTGCGTTTTCTCACCATAGCCAGGCCTACGTGAGCAGTCCTGCGGTTGTGTGCAGGCTTTCGAGAGAGAAAGGCAATGTTCTGCGCCCCGCAGTCACCAGTATGCCAACAGCATCATTTCTTTTTCTTCAAGTTCAGATCTTATGTCTCCGTTTCTTGCATACTGTCTGACAAAAGATGGAGAAGCAGATAGAAGTAACTGCTTGTTACTTAACCCACTTACAATTGGAGCGTTATCTTTTATTTTTTTGTTTTGTTTACAACACAAGATACCAGGCTCAGTTTGGACATAACCAGGTGAAATTCTGTGGCGTGCCATAGAGAGATTAGATAATCTACAAACAAAATACATATGAAAGAAGACACAGTAAACATAAGGGAGTCTTGTGCAGTAGATGTTTAAAGCAAAGCAGTAACCTGCTATAAGTGACTCCCGACAAAGATTTGACTCTTCTTGGCACAGTTTCTGGTTCCAGGGTTTGAAATAATATTCTGCATCTGATCAGAGCGTTCTTTATGCTCACAAAGGGCTGATGGTCTGCTGGTCCCAGAGAAGGTACTGATACCAGACTACTTGTGCACCAACAAGTTGCTCAGATATGTGACCTGGAGTGCTAGAGTAACCGCAACCAAAGAGCAGGGCAACGTAAATGGTAGTTTCCCAAGTGAAATAATTTTTCTGAGCTAAAGGCTGCATTACGGGTTAGAAGAATAAGGGAAAACAATAGTAGTTCTCAAAGTAGCCCTCTACAATATAATCTGATGAAAAAAAAAATCTTCTGTGGCTCATATATTTCTGTGTGTTGTACTCCTGGAACAATTCTTAGCTCTTTGGATGATCGTTTATCAGTTTGTTTTTTCTTCTTCCCAAATATTAGTTCTTCAAATGAAAGATGTTATTATTCTTTACCAGTCATACCGTGCTTACGTATTTAGTCCAGCACAGCTACCAAAAAGTTACCAAAATTTGAATACTGATAACTATTTCTCAAAGGCATTGAAAATAAATTTTAAAACAAAACCAAGCAAAAATACCTTCTCCTACCTCACCCTCTTAGCTTTGTGTGTTTAAACAGATACTTCTTGTACTTCCCAGAATTTTACTGGTTACAAGATGTACAAGCCGAAGAAGGCATTAATTGTTCTTGAATGTACTTTTGGTATAGTTACAAAAAGACAAATTAGAAAATTGATGATGGCTTGGTTTATAATTTTTTTTAATTATTATTATTTCCTTTTTAGAAATATATAATCTGTCAGGTTAGTGCAAGAACGAGGAGTATTTGAATAACTATAGAGAAACAAAACCTATGAGCCACTGACCAGGGACCTTGCATTTAACAATGAACTTTTTTTAGGCTAGAAATTTGATAAGGTACTCATCTGGTAATTGAACTTGAATGAGAAAGCCAAATATTTTCTTCCACTGCTTGATTTACTGTGTGAGTTGCACTGGAGCCTGCACACAAGGTCTAATACGTTGGTATGGGTCTCATTCACGTAGGTACTTAATTAGTCATGGAGCCAATGTGGCTGCTGTGAACAGTGAAGGTGAAGTCCCGTCTGACATCGCAGAGGAAGCAGCCATGAAGGACCTGCTTCTGGAACAAGTAAAGAAACGAGGTAAATCAGGAGTGGGATTGAGTATGTGAGAGTTAGACCTCTAAGAGTTTCTCTAAGAAAATTCTGTTGGCTGACTGTCTGGAGGTGAAGAGATCTGAAAACTGGCCCAAAAGGCAGGAGACAAGTTTTGCTTTGGTAGCCAAGCAGTGGAACAGATGCAGAAGGCTTGCGGTGTGCAGTCTCTGTCCTTAGCAGGATTCTTCAAAGCAAGACACCGCAGTGCTGAAAGCCGATTCATTAGATCTGTTTGCTTTTAAAGTGAGGTTCTGGCCTCTGGTATCAATGAAAGGTCTTGTTTCACTAAGACTTGATAATACAGAGGTGAGATTTACAGCCCTGCCAAAAGCAGGGACCTGGCCTGGAGTGACCTGCTTTATCCTGATCCTTCCCTAGACTTCTTCTGCAGCCCATCTGCTCTGCCTTCTCCCCGTTCTCATCAGGTATGCCTGTCTGAGGGGCTGCTCCCTGTGCTGTCCCTGCAAAAACATCACTGGTAGAAGACATGTCTTGGACTGTGTAACTTGTGGTATAATTAAGAAATGCTTCATCAGTGTAAAATTTTCTTCATACTCATGAAATTAACCTGTGAGTGGTTTGCCTGTACGTACACGTCAGAAGTTTAAACCCTATCTGTGAAGTTCATCAAGAATGTTTTTGAAGGATGCATTTATCTCAACTCTGTCAGAAGTAATGAACGGAGGCAAATTGAGCTGATACAGACCAAACTGTCCACATCGGATACGTATGGACTGCGTATCGAGCCTTGAGAAGAGCAAGTTGACAGGGGGGTCTAACTGCTGTCCTCCACTACCTTGAGGGAGGCCGTAGAGGCGGTGGGGCCAGGCTCTTCTCAGAGCTGCACAGGGCAGGATGAGAGGAAAAAGTCATCGGTTTGAACAAGGGACGTTCTGACTGCATATGTATGTATCTGCATATGGGGAAAAATGTTTCCCAGGAAAGTGCTGGAACAGGGACCCAAGGAACTTGTGGAATCTCCGTCATTGGGGGTGGTCAAACCTCAGCTGCATTCAGCTCTGAGCAACTTGATCTGGGTTTGAAGCTGCCCTCCTTTGAGCCGGGATTTGGGCTAGAGACCCGGAAAGATTCTTTTCAATCTAGATTATTTTATGACTGCAGGTTAGTGTTGGGGTTTTTTGCGTGCTGGATTGAATCCAGTCCTCTCTAACAGATGTATTCTGCTTGGCACATGATGGTTACTTTATTTTTGAAGGTATTTTCGGGTATAGTTAGGAAGAGATCAGTCCCTTGCTACTTCGTCAACTGTGTTACTGTTCCACTGGTGAGTTTGTAGCTGTCCATCTGAGAGCTAGTAGTTATTTGTGTTACTGTTCCTCTTGGAAGATTGATGCAGGATCATGTTCCTTCTGGTAAATAGAAACTTTTCACTTTCTAGTCTAGTGGTGTTTGTGACAAGGTTATTCTTAATTTGTTCCCCTTTTCCGTTCTCTTTGAAATAAGCTTAAATAGCCCTTCTCCCTTGTATTTAGTTTGCTCACGTATTTAAAAAAGAAGAATTGTGTCTACAGTCAGCGTTTGTTTTACTGGGCTGTCCAAACCATGCCTGTCTCCTCTCTGCAGTCAGGCTTCCTTGGGTGCCCGGGACAGAGATCCTTTCTTTACATCAGTGTAACTTGTCTCTCTTCAAAGTGGGTATCGAGAACCGTACGTGGCAGTACCATGGCTGAGACCTTGCAGGGCATCGAGGCAGTGATTCTGCCTCAGCTGCGGATATTTTGCCTGACACTTCTTGGGATTCTGCTGGGCTTTTTCATTGCTTCACCACATTAGCGGCGTCCTGCTAAGATGCCCTGAAACAACCATCTGTCTCCACCGAGAAGCCTCCCATTGACACAATTTAAAAGGATCATAACCGCTGGAGTAAATGTGGTATAAACTTTAAATAAGCGTCCATCCGGCTCTGTAGCCCGTCTGCAACAGATGCCTGCTGCAAACTGTAACAACCGGACAAGCGTGTATGATTCCCCTCCCAAACGTTTTCCCAGCCTCCAGCCACTGTGCCTGAAGGAATTCCTGAGCCAGATGGGCTTTCTGTGTGCTCGTGAATCCCCCGCGGCTCTCTGTTTCATGAACTTGTGCGGTCCTTCTTGGGAATTCCTGGCATGTATAGCATTATGTTTAATAGCTACAAATTTGTCTAATCCTTGTTCTGAACCCAGTTGTATTTCTAACCTTTGCGACACCCTGCGGTAGTGGGTTTCACAGTTCAGACTCTGGGTTGATAAGTATTTTCTTTTCTTCTGTTTTAAACCTAATGCCCCACAATTTAATTGGGAATCATGTCGCTCTTATACTGCAAGAACTAATCCATAGGGACAGTTGCTCTTCAATACCCTTCTTGGTTTTTGAGATTTGTCATCTTCTCCTTCATAGTTTTTCCTGAGTCAGCAAGCTCTAGTCTCATTAATCTTGTCTGGAGCTGTATTGTACTTCGGATTGATACATTGTCCTTACACGACCTCGTTATCATGAAAACTCCGCTTACAAAAATAAGTCTAGGATAGTTTTCCTCTTGTTGGTTTAGTGACAAATGACAGAGCCCCTCAGCCAGACCCACCTGGCCTCTCCACAGCGTAGCAGTTGTTTCCTAGGGTGGGAAACTTGTCCCCCTTGTTCTTGGAAAGCCCCATAGCCGTGTCTCTGGTATGCCAGGTGTGTGTGTTGGTGAACTTACTTGGTCTGACTTCCTCTAAAGCAGGTCTCTTAAGCCATCAGAGTAGATTTTTTTGGCCTTCTATCCCCAAATTGATTTAGAATTGTGTTTTGTCAGAGTCTGGTGGTTTGCTGCTCGGTGGAATTAACTAAATATGTCTTTTGGCATGCCTGGCACGAATGGCTCTGGTGCGGTACAGATCTCTGCGTGTGCAGCTTGCAGAGCGTACTGGATTTTGAGTGAGTGTACCGTTGGGGTCGTGCTGCTCTTGCAGGAGACGTCTTAGGATCATCTCTTCAGATCTTTGCTGTAGATTATACTTCACTATAGTTTAATTCCGTTTGTTAAGCTGTTGTTCATGGCTTTCTTGTTTCAGTCTAGGACACTGCATGTTTGGAACGCAATCCTTCCGCCCATCGTGCACAGTTCAGAGTTGAGCTGGTTAGTTGGGCGGGTTTGCAACCAGTGGCTCAACTTTCAGATTTTCTAAGTCAGACAGCTTTGAAGTCTCTGTCAGTGATGCGGGAGTTCTCCCAACTCCTAGAAGATGCTTTTGCTGATTTTTAATTTTTTTTTTTTTTGGTGGAAGATTACAAATAGCTTACTAATATTGTATAGCAAATGAAACATAGGGTAAGTTTAACAAGTACATGAGAGCTTTCACTTGATAATCTCTTATTCTGTGCTTCGCCCTCTTAGGTGTAGACCTAGACCTGGCAAGAAAAGAAGAGGAGCAGCAAATGCTGCAGGATGCCCGACAGTGGCTGAACAGCGGGAGAATTGAAGATATAAAGCAGCCTCGAACAGGTGCCACGGCTCTTCATGTCGCTGCGGCAAAGGGCTATTCTGAAGTCATGAGGTAGGAGCTCCTTCCCAGGGCCGATGCATTGAATTAAGGCTCTTTTTTGTAGGGATAACATCTAGCTTTATAGTTGAGAGAAATTTGTTTCATACTGAGATTTTTCAGGCTGCTGTTTCTCAAAAGGCTCTGTACATTTATGTGCCCAACCATAGCGGTTCATCTAGAAGGGACTGGAAGATTCCCTTTCGTACCTCTAGGCCTTTAAAGTGAAGAAAGCTTTTCAGAGAGAGACATAAATGTGAAGGTTTAACTTTCGGTATTTGAGTAACAGCTTTAGGACTAGCTAGTTAAACAGTATTAGGGGATAAAGGTATAATTTCAGCCTACAAAGTGACAAGACATGCTGCATGACAATCACAAACACTCCAACAGTTTACATGACCAGTGTAGTGGAGAAATGCAGCGTCCACCCCAATCTCGCCGTCCCCTGCTCCATAATGCTACTGCTCCTGCAGCCGTCAGCCGTGACAGAGGGATTCCAACACGTAACGGTTCTGCTTCTGCTGCTCTGGCAATAACAAGCTTATGAACATAAACTTGCCCAGTGTAGTGTTTCCTGATAATAAAGCATTTATATTTTTACAGGTCGGGTCAAATTAAGGTTTCCAACAATAAAGCTTTCTTCTCTACTCTTTATGTGTGGGTGGAGCTGCCCATAAACATCAGCAAGGTTACTCTGTTGCCCACATTAAAATCCTTTCTGGAAGTGTTCATCTATCTTGATCCTTAATTTCGTAGTTTTAAGTGGCATAACTAGATGTGTAGGAGCTGTTTCTTATCAAGCTCCAGTCATTTTGTTGTTCTCCATGTTTCCTATTTGTATACATTCATTAGAGCTTATAATTGAGTTATAAGCTGTCTGCGCCTGTACCACGCCCAAGAACTAATCTAACACAGCTCACGTGGAATAGAAATGTAATATCTCCTGAATTTGAGGCGTTGGTCCCGTGGACTTTCAGCGGAGTGTTGTATATCCAGTACTCATCCATGAAGGCTGCATTCACTGTTTGCAGGGTGAGTAGTTCTGGACAGCTACTCCTTGGCATTAATTGTTATAATGATAAACAGATCTCACGGAGAGCTGACATTGTTTCACTCTTGTGTATTTTATGGCCACCCTGTAAGTTCAAATACAAAGCTTCAGTGACTTAAACCAAAGGGGCTGAAAGCCAGGAGCTAGCTAACTCTCAAATGAGACGTGGAATTTGTCTGTGACCTTGAGTCTCTTAGTAGCTATGTTCCTCCCTTTTGCCAGCTGGAAAATGAACATAAAGTCAGCACCTAAATTAAAATTTCTTTCACAGAGAAACACACTGCTGCTATAGGATGACTGTGTTTTATTTAGCACAGTAACGCATCGGTGTAAAGCTGCAGGAGTTTCAAAAGTGTTGGTGCCATTCTGGTGTCGTGCTGGATTTCCCTTGTGCTGCAGAAAGGTGGCTCTGGATGGTGGAATTTCCCACGATGTGGAAATTTTCAGTAGCAGTTTTAAAGGACTTGCGGAATTCCCCATGGATGTTCTTGAATATTTAAGCAACTTGGATAATAGTCGGTTTTGATACGTGAGCCGCTCAGTACTTTCATCTGATCACTGGTGTACCAGTGTGCCCGTGTCTCTGAAGCTTCAGACTACAGCTGCCTCTCCTGTTGGTTTTGGTTTTAAATATTCAAGCTCCCGACGCCGTGCACCACCAGTGCGCTGGTCTGAGAGAGAAGGGAGTGGGTGGAAGGCGCGCAGCACTGAGTGAGATGCGAGGGTGTTCCCAGGCAGGTTCACCTGGCTAAGATTTGCTTTAACTGTGCAAGCACTAGTCTGCAAAAATGCATTTTGGGTTGTTTAACCCAAATGTGGGTTATTTAACTTACAAATTTCACACTGTCACTCCCAGTAATGTCACTGCTCTTACCTGGCAGTCCTGCTGGCACCATCTCCTTATGGACCATTCCTACAGTGTGGCCTTGTGCTCTGGTAGAACCAAGACTGAGCTCCAGTTACCAAATGTCCTTGTCCTGCCGGGTGCTGTGCGTGGCTCCTTGCTGTGGGGATGGCAGTCTGCAGAGATGTGGTTTGTTTGCTTGGTGCCTGAGCGAGTCTGGTGTCTCTCGTCCGTTGGAGCAGGAGTTCAGCCTGGGTCACTGATGCCAGATGAGAAATTAAGGTGTTCTTCCATCAATTAGACACGTTCCAGCGGGTTTTACAGCAAAGTCACTTTTCTTTTCATTTACTGCCCTTTTCTGTTACAGTTGCAACAGAAAAGGGCATCAAGTGGGTTGTTGCGTAGGTGAATAAACAAGTTAAGAAACTACTGGCTTATTGTGAACCATGTTACCTACTCCATGGCTCACGGTATGAACTCTTCTGTGTCGAGAAGTCAGTCTTGGGTGGGCAGAAATCAATATTGCTTCTTTCCTCAGGCTCTTGATCCAGGCTGGGTTTAATCTGAACGTCCAGGACAATGACGGCTGGACTCCACTGCACGCTGCTGCGCACTGGGGAGTGAAGGAGGCTTGCTCCATCCTGGCTGAGGCACTGTGCGATATGGACATCAGGAACAAGCTGGTGAGTACGCACAGATGTCGGCACAACTTATCTAATGTATTTTATAGCCGGATGAATATCAACTTTATTGCCTACCGCTTGATCCAGTGCCGTGACAAAGTTACATGATGAGCAGTTCTCCTAGTGTGTGCACTGGAGCATTTAAAAGTGTCAGAAAATAAAGAATCTTGCCTGGAGCTAGGCAGAAAAGATTTCAGGTGTTACTGGAAAAGATCAGCGATTAAACTCTAGGACTAAGATTGTAGGAAAGGATGGGGGCTAATCTGTGTCGTCTTGTTTTAGCGCAATCCTGACAAATTAAACAATAAAGAAGACAGTCTTGGAGTGCAAAATAATATGCTAATATTAAGGTATAAGGCACTGGAAACTAGTGAATCCTTGAGAAACTGGCAGCTCTAAATCTTTCCTGTTCCACTATATTGGTCATAAAAAAGGAAATTGAAAAATTGACTCAGATTTGTGAGAAATGAGTAAAGAAAAATAGGATGGAAGAAAAAAAAAAAAAAAGAAAAGGAGGAAAAAAAATTCCTCTTCTATCCTAATAGTTAGAAGTTTTTCCTTGAAGGGCCCGTGGCTTTTCAAGAGCTGACGTGTGCTTGTCCGGGCTGGTTCTTTGTGTTCCCCTCCCTGCTGCGACGTCCAGGCTGTGACTGTGAACCGCTTCCTGCTGGAGCGGATTCAGTTGTGCCGTGGCCGCTGCTGCGGGAGGAAATGGGGCTGTCCGTACTTGGGCCAGCACCGGGGAACGAAAGCAGGCGAGATAATTTGATAAGAGAAGCGTGGCACTGTATGGTTTGAGTGCATCTGTCTGTGCTGGAAACTGCGGTAGAAGAAATGGCTCTACGAGAAGGAGCCATTTTAGTGTGGTGAGCTCTTTGGCAACCACAAGATGGGGAATCTTTTTTGTTCTAAGTGCTATCAGGTGCTTTTCCCAAGTGTTCAGAGTGTGTCTGGGTTTTGTATTGTGCTAGACTTGAAAAGAAACAGGCACAGCTGTATTTGCTGCATTACCTGCTCTTTCCAGTCAAGGATTGGTACCTTGCTAGGTCAGATGGCCAAGGCAACCTGCATTTATCTGATCACTAGCCATTAGGTTTCATTATTTGTTAATTAAATGGTTATTATAGCTTTAGTTACGGTGAAAATCTAACTAATTTCCTGTTTTGTGCCCCAAAGTAATTTTTCTGGTTTATTTTGTAAATGCCCGTGGATGTGGAAGTGGCTCCCCAGTTTTTTGGCCTGCTGATGACTGGCAGCCTTTCAGGAGGTTTGAATACACAATGATACGGTAGAACAGGTTGATCGCATTCCTTCTCAGTACAAGAGTGTCCTTTTTAGAAACCTGGAAATTCAAATATCTTAGTCCCGGCTGTTAGATTTGAGCAGTAGCAACTGGGGAACTGCACTTCCATGATTAAGGTCGCTCTGATCACGGATTGAGTCATGAAACTGCCGTCACTGTTGCGTGGCTCTCCCTCCTCGGGCATGAAACAAGTATGTTACTCAGCGTTTGGGGAGGGAGGATGTGGTGCATGTTCACTTTTGTTCTTCACTGGTAAATAGTGCTTTTTTGAATATTAACACCGTGCCTTATCGGATATCCTCTTGTCTTCTCTTATTGCATCAGGGCCAGACGCCATTCGACGTGGCCGATGAGGGGCTGGTCGAGCATTTAGAAATGCTGCAGAAGAAACAGACTGTGGTGAGTTTCTGGCAGATCGTTTTCCACCTCTCCAATTACCTTTTCACGCACAGGTGCTCTCTAAGACATATGGCGTCAACAGACGCAGGAAGCTGAGGCCCAGCTATTTTTTTTTATGTTAGTCATTTGGAGTCTTTAATTACACCAATATTTTTCATAGCTAGAAATCTAGAAAACTGGAAGACTGCATCAAGAAGGTCAGTAGCATGCTGACATGCGGAATTATGTAAACTGGTAAGGAATGTATAGTTCATCTTTGAAATTGTTATTATTCTGCAGTTGCTTTTGTTAGCTGACAAGCTCTCTAGCATCAAACTGCTCTCTTCTTAATGAGTGATTACCCAAGTCAGCTTTGTGTTTGCATCTAAGGAAATATGCTGTCCGTGTTGAGAAAGAGATCTGTTCCCATGTCTGCCTTTCTTACAATAGGGAGACTTTTGATTGAGTGAGAAGAAATTATGAACTTCAGGGAATTCTGGACTAAAAAAATCGGTGATTTCAAAACCGTATTAAATTGCCATTTCATAATGCAACGGAGATATTGGAAGGGGTTATAAGCAGAAAGTTGGCATAAAAAAAGAAAGCAAAAATATATCTTGGTCAAAGGTAAAGCCAATCATCAAGCCAGAAAGTTGTTTTTGGATTGCATTTTTTCCTGTTTCATCTGGTCTACTCAATTATCTCATTTGGGTGCTTCCAAAAAACAAACCAGCCTTCTTTAAAAAAAAATTAAAATCAGTAAGTATCATTTAAAACGTTGGATTCAGAAACAGACGTAATGAGAACACTGCTGATAAAACCCAGTAAAGTATTTTGAGGAACTGACAATGTGGGTGGTAGAGCTCAAGCTCTGATCATAACACAGCTGCTGTCATCCTGAAATAGCATCCTTAACATTCGCAGAAACTTCTTAAAAATTGATCAGCTTCTCCCTAAATGAGGTGCTGATAAATACTATCAGTGTTGTGTTTTGGATTTCCTCCGATCTCACTACCCCAGGACTCTGCAGATAACTGCACTCCTCAGAAGAAAAGAAAAAGAAAAGCAAAACAACGAGAAGAATTTTTGGGGGTGGATGCCAGCCCATTTTTAGGCCTGCTTCACAGGGGCAGCAACCCCCCTTGTTCTGTCTATGGTAGCACTATATAAAGGCTTCTCCATTTATTGAATTAGTGTAGCAAGCTATTGTAGAACTGGGAAGAAGAGAAGAATCCAGATTTTATCACACCTTTTTTTTTTTTTTAGTGGATATGATTTTTTTAATAGAAATGCCATTTTATCATGTGTTTATCATGTGCCATTTTTATCACCTAAAATAGAAAACTTAAATTTGTTAAGGATGAAGCAGGCAGTTCCACGACATTCCTCCAAGTACATTATTTTACTTTCAAAATGGCTCTCAAATCAGATTTTTTTTTTTAATTCTAAAGCTTGTAGCAGAGCAAATATGCCATCCTTGCTAAAAGATTTGCTGCTGTTATTGGAGAGAAGAGGGGATTTTGTTTGCTGGAAGCAATTCATTTGATTTGGGTTTGGATTTTCTTCCCAGTCTCTGAAATACCTGGGAATGGAGCAGGCTGTTCCCTGCGCTTCCCTTTGCTGTGCTCCAGCAGTTTGTTCTATTTAACAACATGCTGTACCCCACGTTTTGGCTCTTCACTGGACTCTGTGTAGCTTTTCCCACATTCAGGATTTGCAGAGCTTTTGCTTCTTGTGCCTGGTGTCAGCTCCTGTCAAAAGAGAAAGACTAGCTAGGCTAGACATGACGCAAAAGAGACGGCCTTAAAAGTCAGCCTCTAATTGCCATCCCTTTTTCTACCTCAACTGTGTCTGTGCTTCTAGAAGGTACGGAAACAATTTTTTGGTTAGTGTTTTGTCCATCAGTGATGACAAAATTAATAATTGCTGCTCTCTGGGCAAAATGTTTCAGTTTCTGCGGTGATCACAGGTATTCTTGTGCGATGACTTAATGCTGGCAAGTGAGAGATTTAAGAAGTGACCCGTCCTCGTGGGAGATCAGCTGCCTGTACAGGGCATACTTGAATGCTTTCCTCTGAGAGCAAGTAAATAACAGCTACAAAGGCAGCACATTTTTAACTGAATCTAGCCTGATTTCATGGGCATGCAAACACATGTGGACAGACCTCCGGCGCTGTGTCCGCGTGGGCAGGTGCAGGGCAGTACTGTGGAAGTCAGGATTTGACTCGGGGTCTCAGCAGGGGCTGCTGCAGGCTTCTCTGAAGGTTTTATTAAATTGCAGCTTGAGTCTAAGGACATGCTGGGTGTGTAGCCGTGCCCTTATGGAGCTCTAGTGTAAGACATCCAGCGCTCTTGCAGATGTGCATCTGTTGAATTGGCTTGTTAAACAAATCCACAGTATTTTTCGTCTAATGAGGTTGGGGTGACCTTATGCTGTGGTAATCATTGGATTGTGCTGAGGTGGCTTGTTAAGATGTCTCTTTTCATTCTTTCTCCAATTTTCTTGGACTTTTTGACAGTTGCGAAGTGAGAAGGAGACGAGGAATAAGCTAATTGAAGCTGACATGAACGGCAAGCCTCAGAGCGGACTCTTCACCAAGTACGTCTCTTTCCTCCATTGAAAAGAAGCTGCACAGAGAGTAATGGGAGACCAGTTTCGTCTGTTAGCAGTCAGCTGGCCTCAGCTGGTTTAAAAAAAGTTCGCTGCTGTTGATGTTCATTTCATGGTTTCTTTTAAATTTGAGCTCTCCCACATACAATTTTAGCTGTTTCTTAACATACCCACTGAATGGTAGAACAAGGCGTCGGGCTGGTGCTCGGTCCCCCAGCTTCTGCTCTTGCATCAATTTGCCCTTCGGGCTGAGAACTGCACCTTTGTGGTTGCACGGAGCCGTACAGCCCAGCTGATGGGTTGTGTTGCCCTAGGAAAAGAGACAGCACATTTTTTTTTGGATTGAGAAGTGCTTGCAAATTTCAGAAATGTGGGACTGGCATTGGAATCCATGGCAAATGGGCAGTGCTGGAAGTGCTGGGATGTTGAGTCTATAGATGGATTTTGTCCTTTTGCTTGTTCTGTATGTAGCAAATCATATCTATGTGTTCCTGAGAAGTAGAACTCAAAAATAACTCGCTCATCTGGTAGTCCTTAAAATTTCTATATCTTGCAGCAAAGAGAAGATTCTTTATGAGGAAGACACGCTGAAGTCCATGGAAATGGAGGAGGAGAACAAAGATTCTAGCAGTTCTAGTTCTGAAGAAGAGGAAGAAGCTGAAGAAGATGAAGTTTCAGAATCAGATGCTGAAAAGGAGTCAGGTAAGACTTAGTACAGTCTTGGATTTAATAATTAGCCTAGCAATGTCAGGGGATCTGTTTGAGAACTGTTTGGTTGGGATTTTTTTTTTTTTTGCTTAGTTGTTAAAAACATCCTGAAAGTCTTACTTCCAGTGTCTATGTATAGAATATGGAGAACTCCGTAGCTAGTGTACTAAAAAAGCTGATTTAAAATGCTGGCTCCCAAGTCAGCATAATTTTTCCAAAAAAAAAGCTGTGGATAGTATTTTAATTTCTACTTCCAGCTCAGTTGAATTGAAGATAGTGCATTGGTCACAGGTTATTCTTAAACAGTAGGTTTTTTTCTCGTTGGCCAATTTCAGGATGAACACTTGAGTTACTGCAAGATGGTGGAAATGCAGTTGAACATGTAGGAAGGGAATAGCCCGTTGTATTTGGATCGGAGAAATGAAATGAAGGGCTGAAGCTGTTCTGTGTAATTTATAGAGATGAGGAACTTTTTTTCTGACTCTGATGTATAATAATTGCAGAACACAGTGGAAAACAAGGATTAAATACATCGAGTCACGTTAGCCTTTACGTTACAGTATATTGCTGGCATCCTCCTTCCTTTGTTCCAATCTCGTTCTTTTGCCATGATTTCTAAAGCTTCCTTAATTAGTTTGAACTGCATATATGTGCAGCACAGAAAGTTTACATAAAGACACTTAATTTTACAGTAAGCCAAGACTTACTTGTACTTAATATTTCTGCAAAGAGAGATGGATCTTGGACTATGATGCGTTTAATGGTTAAACTGCTTTAACATCAGCTTACTTCGCCTATATCCCAGTATACTAATAAAGGAGTCCTTGCAGAGAAGTGTAGTTTAAAGTTTTGTCCTGCTTCTTGTGCCAGTAAAATTGTCACCCGTGTTCTAATTGTATCAATTACGGTGTTTATCACAGTATGAGAGGTGTTGAGAATGAATCCTGGCTGGTAGTCACGAAAGTTATTTGAGTACAACAGTAACACAGCGCAATAAACTTTCGGCTTTTAAATCAAGCAAATGTAGTGGAGAAGTCGATGGTAGAAACAGGCGTGCAGTAGAAGTCACATTTACTTGCTCTATAAATCAGGGTTTTACTAGGCAGCAGCCCGGTATAGCTACGTGCCAATAAACGTGGTAGGAACTTGACCAAAACACCTCGAACGTACATATAGCTGTCCGAAGTGGAGCTACGTGGTGTTTGACTGATTCAGGAACAGCATAAGGTCCTTCAGCAGGGGAAGTGCTGCAGCACTCGGCATTACATTTTGTGTAAAGCCAGAGCAGGTCTTTTTATTGAGTGAATTCACTGAGCAAAGCACTTTATACTAATCTATTTCAAACCACTCAAGCTAAAGCAAATCAAAGACGCAAAGCATTCAAGTAACGATTAAACATCGAGCTTCAGGCTTTTGTTACCTGTGCTCTCCTTTCCTAGAGAGATTATTGGCGCCTTTGAGAAATTTCAATCAGAATTGAAACCTTACCTTGTAGACTTCTCAAATCTCTAATAAAATGGACATGAACTTGTCCAGCGCGATGTAGACGTCCTTAGTTGTTGCATACGTGAACGGGGTGCGCATTTTCGGTACTCTTTTTAAAATAAGGTTCATGAGAGAACAATATCAGCCCACGTGTTATAGGAGGACTCCAAAGAGAAGCAGGGATGAAAATAGCTTTTCATAGAAAATTACAAATGTCACAGTATTACTAGTTTCAAACACAATCTTAAGAACAATTATGCTTTATCATCTGGTAGACATTTTAAATCCTTGGATGGATATAGGAGGCATGTTTTTGAAAACATGGAAATTATTTCCTTATTCCTCTTCATTTTCTTCTGAGATTTCATATTCACATAGCTTTGTAATTCTAAGCAGTGCTGGACAGATAGAAGACGGCTGTTGTCCTAAAGTGGTCAAAGTCCAGATGAAGGAAGGAAAAAAAGGCAAAATATTGTTACGAGTGATCTTTTTATAAATCCAAAAAAATGAACTCCTTTGGTAACTGAGCACAAGGCGTGACAAAGTAGAAGCTGGCAGTATAATCCAGAAATTTGCTTTGAGGTATGTTTTGAAGGGTCTCAGGTTGTGATAAATTTGTGGAATTTGCAGAGACTGTGGGAGGAGAAGAAATTTGAAGAGGTGAGCAGTGAAATTGTTGGAGTGCCTCAGAGAGTACCGTGTGTCTTACAATCTGTAAGAAATTTGTGTTCTTCAAACAAAAGCAGCTCAGTGCAGTAATGCCCTTTTATTCGTCTTGAGTACAATTAACAATTTGGCATTGGGTTGTATATAAACAAGAGAAAGATCAGTATAAAATTCTGTGGTCGTTATCTTTGCTGGTAACTGTTACGATAGGTAATTATTGTGAATTAAAGCAGGCCGGGGAAGCTTTCAATGTTTAAGAAACCAAACCAAAACAAAACAAAAGAACCCCCGCCCCGAAAACGCTGAAGAGATGTGACATTTATGCCAAATCAGAGAACTAAATATTCAGTCTCACGGCACTTGTTTTGGGGAGATTGAGCTAATCCCCACCTGTTTCCCTTGATTGGAATTCATAATGTTTATTGCTGAAATTTTAGTAAAATGAACTGTGGGATCCTCCCCTAAAGACGACGATGCCTATGGTCGTGCGGTCTCTCACGCTGCCGGTACAAGGTACTTTTGCCTGTCCTTTTTCTGCAGTTGACTCCTTTCGGTCACATTGCTCACAGTGAGAGCTCTTTCCAACCTGTCATTACCGCTTAAGCTTCTGCCCTTGTAATTAGGCTTGACCTTAAAAGTTGACCTCTGTACTATAAACTTCCAGAACGGGCTACCAGTCACCGTCTAGCCCAGCCTGTAAAGCCTGCTGGCTGTCGGGTCAGGTCTGTTCTCCCCTTCCTGCAACACTGAGGATCCTCCTGTGCTTTACAGGCTTCTCTCTCAACAGATCAGCAAACGGCAAGAATGTAATTTTTTGTCTGTGTGCATTTCCATGGACTGCTGAATGCCAAGTCAGGCCTGCAGGGAGAAGTGGGTAATCTGCTGCCCCTCCTAAAAGGGCTGTTGGAAAGCGCGGTGCATCTGCGCGTTAGGCTCGAGAAGTGAAATGCTCTGTGGAGACGACTTGGATGGAAGTTCTGCCGTAACCCAAAGAGAGGGAAGGGTGGCTGAGACTTCAGCAGCATGCAGACCTTCCTGGGGAGATGCATCTTTGTCTCTTTAATTCTGGATCTGTCAGTCCTGCTAACTGCCTGTTATTTTTAAATGTTTCTCTTGGCTTGCTCTTTTCTGTTTACCATGTCCTTTGAATCCTATATTCTAGGAGTGAGAATATTTGTTTCAGAAAGATTGATCTTCGTGCGCCAAGGTGCCATCCTCGCAGATGCTCCGTTCCAAACTGCTTTTTATGTGTAATAGAAGATATTTATTCACTGCACATACCTCATTTCCTAGTACTGTTTGGGTGGTTACACTTAAAATGACTTTGTTTTTTCAAAACCGTGACTGTATGAGGCACTCACAGCTGGGAGAGGAAAACATTGTTTTGTTGGTGTAGGTACATCATTTCTCGGGCACCTTGCATGTGCCTGTGCTTGGTAAATAGTCTGTCTTAGAGCCCTGTGCGCTCCTCTCAATTGAACCTATTGCCTGAGATGTAGTTTCTGCGTGCTCTCCCCCGGTAATGTCTGGTGGATGCTCTTATGTCAAGCATGGTGCATAGATACAAAAAAAAATTTAATACTGGATGATTGCACTTGTCTAACAAGCAGGGAGCCAGCTGTGGGCTTTGGTAGCATTTACTTAGCTTGCTTTGAGCCCTGTTAAAGATTTTTCTTGGGAATCAGTCCTAGCTTCGTGTAGAAAAATGGATTTTGCTGTAGAAGACCAGAAATTCTGCCCACCGGCATAAGCAACTGCAGCAGAACCATGCAATGAAACCCACCGCCGCCAGGCCCACTCGGGGACGTGTGCTGTAACGCGCACCCCCGCACTGCAATAGCAACTTTTCGGCTTTCCTTCCCGGGTGTCACAAGGGAAGAACAATCCCTGAGAGGAAACAAAATGGGGAATAAACAACAAATCTGTTTGTCCTTCTTGAGGTGCTTTCTGCAAAGATTTTGCTTGTCTGTGGGGATGAAGTTCAAAAGCTTTGCCTGGCAAATGTATCCATCATATTTTTTAGGAAGTAGAAAGCCTCCTTGCAGAAAGACCTGTTTAGCCTTGGCACTGACGACATCCTTATGATCTAAGGCGTACGGAGGTCACAGCAACTCTGAACTTGAGTTTAGTGCACATTGTGCTTGTAAGGAAGGGCTGTGGAAGTGCAATACTGAAACGTTTGGTTTCTCTTCTTGTTTAAAATTGTAGAAAGGAAGGAAGAGCCCTTTGCCAACCACTCCAGCCATGAAACCAGGCCTAGCATCACTGAGCAAATACCACCACCCGAGCCCAACTCCTTCACTGCATCTGCCAGAAGAGTAAGTGAATTTGGAATCAATGGGGACTCCAGCAGAGCTCGAAAGCAGTAGTTTTTTCTGGGAAATGGATGCTCTGAAACTGATTTTCGGAGGAGTTGTAAGACGTGAATTTAGGAAAGTGTGGTAGTATGCAATTTTGATAAAGAGGCTGTGTTAACAGCAGTACAGTACTGGCACAAAGGAGGACGTTTGTATGATAAGGTTCCTCTTGAATCTCTTACCCTCTGAAGCAAATTGCGCTGTTCACAAGAGAAACCCTATTTACTGCAAGTGCTTTGTGTCGCTGTCAGTTCTGGGATAGCTGATGCCAATCTCTTACCAGCAGGAGATCCTTCACCAAAGCTGGTTCCTGCTGATGTATCAGCAGTGAATTTGGCATCATCATCTAAAGTGCCTCCGACTTGCCAAACTCGGTTGATTTAGTGGCATGATGTTACGGCCCAGTAAGCAGAGAGGATAAAGTTTGCATCTGACTAGATAGCTAGGCTATGAAAGCTTTTTAAAGGTGAAGTAGAGTTACTGAAATCTTATCTGAATTCTCCAGCTCTCACGTCACTCAGCTAGATGGCACCAGGAGACTCTGTGTTCTGCTGAGGACTGGTATCTTGTGCTTCTGGTTTCTTTTTGCACTAGAATATGGAGGACAGCTATACAATGCAGGCACCTTGCCGAAGTCTGAAGCACTAGGTACATGTTAGAGGGAAAATGCTTCTTGCTTAGTCACAATTTTTTATTTTTGACATGCTACTAAGTCTAACTTCTTGTCTAGATCAAGTGAAATAGAGTTCCTCTGGGCGTTGCTCAACTCAGGCTGACTTAGCAGGGGAAGTATTAAAGGTAGAAGGATACTGGGAAGTGGGAGCACCGCAGTTAACCTTTTCGCAGCTGCAGAGTATTGTTCTCACTCATTTGAGCTGTTTAACCCAGAATAAGGCTCTTAGGGTACAGAAGAGCGCCTGTGTGCACAGCAGTTATTGATTTGACCTCAGTCACTTAATCGGCTACTTTACCTTCTCTTACATCTTTGATCCTTCTGTACCTCTCTTTGTCAGATTGGGTTTTATATGGGAAAATATGAGTGCCTGTGTTGCCCTCTATTTGTGGAATTATTAATATTTGCTGTTCCTGTGTTGTTCAGAAATTACAGAAGGCAGTTTTTGCTGTGGATTTGAGCTTTCTCCAAGGAGAGTGTCAAAACTACATTAAAGCGTTAGAGCTGTGTGGCTCAGTAGACTGGAAGTACTGGAATTAGTGGAGTACAGGAGATGATTAACTGTGCATCTGCATTAAAATAACATTAGCTAAGAGACACTGCTAAAATACTGCAGTGATAATTTTATCTTTGCAGTCTTGAGTCAATGAGTTTGAGGGCAGAGCTCCCCGGTAGCTTCATTTATTCTGGATAATGTCAGATGTTTTGTGTTATGTAGAATATGGTATAATAACGCTTGTATCAGCTTTGACCAAAAACCTTCTCTAGCCCAGTATCCTGCCCTTGACGGTGGCCATCAGAAGATACTAGAGAAGACAGAATCTAACTGGACTTCTCTCCCACCTTCTAGCAATTTGCATTTCAGGGACTGGCTGAACCTGTGGTATTTCTTGTATTCAGTAGCCTGTTAGACTTTTCCTCCATGAATTTATGCAGTCGTTTTTTGAGTGTCCATAATGTTTGGGATCCCATAATGTCCAGGGGCAAAGGGTTCTTCAGCTTAATTACATATTATACAGAGCTTCCAGCACCTCTTTCTTTAAGCCTGCCACACACTGAGTTTGTTTGCTGCCCCTAGTTCCTTTATGGGAAGGAACAAGGAACAATTGAGCCTAATTCACGCTTCTATGTGCCACTGAGGGCTTTGTGTTCCTTGGTCATATCTCAGCCTGGAGACTCCCGATACACTGAGTAACTCCTCATACAAAAGCTCTCTTGCTCTTCTCGTTCTTGTTGCCTGTCTCTGAATCTCTTCCCCTTCTTCTATACTGCTTTTGAGTTGTGGAGCCGAGCTGTGCATGATATCAAAGGTGTGACTGTACCCTGCAGTAACGCGGAGGCATAATGGTGTGTTTCATATTCTATCCTTTTCCAATAATTCCTAATGTTCTGTTTGCTTTATTTCCTATACAACTCGGTGCTGAGCCCCTGTCTTGCGGTGCCCAGGCTCCATTCTTGAATGGCAGTAGGCATCTTTCTGTAAGACTTGGTAACTATAACTAAAGTTGTACATTTTAAGCAGTTGTATATTTGAGGAATGATATATGCTTGTCAGAAGTGCCTCGTGTAACAAAGAGCACGAAGGTCCGTTCTGTAGTACGTATAGAATATGCAGTTACCTGACCATAGGAAGGTTTAAGCTAGAACGGGCGTAGTCCAGCCTCTTACTCAAAGCAGGGCCAACTTCAAGCCTATGTCATGTTGCTTTGAACTACCTGAGCTCAGCCGAGTACTGAAAGTCTCTGAGGATGGAGATGTCCCTCTCTCTTGCTCCCTGTCCCAGTGCAGCATCGCTCCTACCGGGAGGTATGTCTTCCTTCATGTCAGTTGGGATTTCCCACGTTGGAACTTGTATCTGTTCCTTCTTCTCCCTTCACAGTAGACTGTTGAGAAGAAGTCTGGTTCCATATCCCCTGTAAACCCCACCCCCCCAAGTAGCAGAGCAATTAAATCCTTTCTTTGCCTTCTCTTTTCCATGCTAAACAACCCAGGCTTCCTCAGTCTCTCCCTTTATGTGTTTTGTGCTCCAGCTCCCTGATGATCTTAATGGCTTCTCCTGGACTCTCTCCAGTTTGATCTGTGTAAGGGTTTTATTTGCAGCTAGTCCCAAAAGAGTCGATTGCTTTTTTTGGTTTTCTGCCTTTATTGAATAATTCCCCCTTCCTAAACAGGTGCTAAGAAAAGCTTCATTGTTCCTTATATTCTTTCTGCAAAGCTGCAGGAGGGCATTGTGTAGGCAAAGGGAGCTGCACAATGACACAAGATTTCTTTCATGGTCTGTCCTTGGGGCTGAGGGCACTACAGCAGTTTGCATCTCTGTGAGTTCACCTTCAGCTCCTGTAATTAAGCCAAACAGGAAATCAAAGTCACTCCGTCTTACATTTACAGGTGTAGCCCAACAAAAACAGGCTTGTTGAAACACTTTCAAAACTTAGATTGTGCCTTGCAGTGCTCTTGCTTCTTCCAAATGTCCCTTTTTCTCCTCTACAGTTCAGTTGGCTCAGCAAGTCAGACGAGCAGAAGGATGAGTCACCTTCATCGTGGCGGCTGGGGCTACGGAAGACTGGCAGTCACAACATGTTGAGTGAAGTCGCTGCTACTCGTGAGGCACAGAGAGATAAGACTTCTTCTATCTATCGTTCTTCGTCAAGTCCTCGGATATCTGCATTATTAGACAACAAAGAAAAGGTTTGGCTCTCAGCAAAGGTGTTTTAGTGCATCCCAGTTGAGCAGACTTTACCTCACAGGTTTAAGACCCTTTCCCTTTCGTTTTGAGTTATTGCTGGGTTTTGTATCCATAACAAACTTAGGTCTCTTTCATTCTTTCTTTTTTTTTCTTCTGAAAATTATTCCTATCCTATCAGTTGTTGTTGCAGAACAGGAGTTCGGTGCCCCTTTGACCTAATTCCTGCTCAGTTTGGAGTGGGCTGCCAGTGAACAAGGGCTGCTGGTTTGGCATGGCCTGTTCCTTACCAGAAAATATCTAATCCAGACAGTGTAGCACATACCTGTAGTGGAAATTCTCCTTCACTGTCATCTATATGGATTCCTCCTGTATCCACCAGCTGTATTTGTGAATCCCATCCCACGTATTTGCTAGCTGTAACTTTGCTGCCCATGAGTAGATGCCCCATCCCTGGAAACGTTCCAGGTCAGGTTGGATGGGGCTCTGAGCAACCTGATCCAGTTGAAGATGTCCCTGCTCATTGCAGGGGGGTTGGACTAGATGGCCTTTAAAGATCCCTTCCAACCCAAACTATTCTGTGATTTGTAAGTAGTTCTCGTTAGAAGCTGCTTTTATTCACTGGCGTGCTCTTCAGGAAATTTTCAGAAGTGATACTTTTATGCTGTGGTACGTGTTGCCCAAGAAAATGCCTTAAACCAGTTGTCGTTAGGCAGGAGAATGCTTTCTTAGTTGAAGAAATTTGAACATGAATTTAGTTGTCACTGAACATGCTGGCAGTGTAACAGATGTGCAGCTGAAGTACTTCTTCTGCTTCACCAGGATAAAGACAACAAGAGCTATCTTGCCACAATAGCCCCCAGAAGACTAAGCAGTATGAGTGATATAGAAGAAAAAGAAAACAGGTGAGACTGACTAAACTTAATGCTCAGCTTCTGTCCTGTCGATAGTTCCTCCGGAATACCTTTTTTCTATATTCATGCTTCATATATTTTTCTCAGCAGTCCCAAGTACATGGGAATTCACAATATCAAGAGCTATCTCTGATCTATAGGATAGGATCAGAGATAGGAAGGACATGGAGCTGTTGGAGCGGGGCCAGAGGAAGCCACAAAAATGATCCGAGGGCTGGAGCACCTCTGCTGTGAGGACAGGCTGAGAGAGCTGGGGGTGTTCAGCCTGGAGAGGAGAAGGCTGCGGGGAGACCTGATTGCGGCCTTTCAGTACTTAAAGGGGGCTTGTAAGAAAGATGGGGACAGACTTTTTAGCAGGGCCTGTAGCGATAGGACAAGGGGGAATGGTTTTAAACTAAAAGAAGGTAGATTCGGACTAGATGTAAGGAAGAAATTTTTAGGATGAGGTGGTGAAACACTGGCAGGGGTTGCCCAGAGCGGTGGCAGATGCCCCATCCTTGGAAACATCCAAGGCCAGGCTGGACGGGGCTGTGAGCAACCTGATCTGGTTGGAGATGTCCCTGCCCATGGCAGGGGGATGGACTGGATGGCCTTCAAAGGTCCCTTCCATCCCAAAGCATTCTATGAGTCTATGGTCTGTAGAAGTTCTGGTACATTGCTTTTCATTGAAGTGAGCACGGCAACAGGCTGGTTTCTCCACCCCTGTGTTCATACGTACATGGTCTCCATCCAGGAAACCAGATTTATGCATACTTTTTCCTTTTATATGCAAGTGCCTCATTTTGTAGCTGGCACCTACACTTGTACGTCTGTCACTTGCTCAGCAGTCACCTTCAGTCCCTTTGTTCACACATCTGTCAGTTTTTGATTCACTTGAGTTTGTGAACTCTCTTGTGTATGGAACTGTTTCCATCGCAGGGGTTGTTTTTACGGTGAATGTGTGTAGTTGCCCCTGGACAGAACCACCATATAAATGGGATAAGTATCTAGTATCTCAAGATACATTTGAGGAGCTAATCTCTACAAACAGTTTCTTCACAGTTTGTGTTAGAAGGAGTAAAATTTGAGCTTAGCCTCATTTGCCCCTGTACTCGGCATTGGTGAGGCCGCACCTCGAGTACTGTGTTCAGTGTTGGGCCCCTCACCCCAACAAGGACATTGAGGTGCAGGAGCGTGTCCAAAGAAGGGCAACGAAGCTGGTGAAGGGCCTAGAGCACAAGTCTTACAAGGAGCAGCTGAGGGAGCTGGGGTTGTTTAGTCTGGAGAAGAGGAGGCTGAGGGGAGCCCTCATCGCTCTCTACAACTACGTGAAGGGAGGCTGTAGCGAGGTGGGGGTCGGTCTCTTCTCCCCAGGAACAAGCGATGGGACGAGAGGGAACGGCCTCAAGCTGCGCCAGGGCAGGTTTGGGTTGGGTATTGGGAAAAACTTCTTAACCGAAAGGGTGGTCAAGCATTGGCACAGGCTGCCCAGCAAAGTGGTTGAGTCTCCATCCCTGGTGGTATTTAAAGAACGGATAGATGTGGTGCTCGAGGACATGGTATAGATGGACTTGGCAGTGCTGGGTTAACGGTTGGACTCGATGATCTTAAGGGTCTTTTCCAACCTTGACGATTCTATGATTTCCAGCCACTTCCACAATCCTGGTAGAAAGGCACATATAGAGAAGCCATCGTGAACTGTAATTGTTGTGAAGCAGTCACGGCAGATGACCACCCTGAGAGAATTTCAGCACAGTTCGGGATTCTTTGCTGATCTGTCACTGAACCTCCCTGCTGCGTTCTTGCTTAATCTCAGCCAGTCACTGTGAGTTGGAGTTTAGCAGACGATTTGTGTCCGCTGATAAGTTTGAGCGGTTTTGGCAGTGGCTCGTATTGAGTGGCATATCCAGCTGACTGCTGAGAAGTGTCCTTTGCTTGGTAAAGTAGGGAACGAGGAGAATTGGCCTCCATGAACAGATGGTGCCCAGACATACTGTGTGGTACAGACTTTTCCCAATATTCTTTCCTTTCAAAGCAGCTGAGTTTCACTTCACGGAACCCACAGGTGTCTGAAAGAGCATCGACATGGACACGGCAATTGAAAAATAATTGCAGGCTGATGAGTGAATTGTGTTGCATTACGAGCTCGAGGTCCTGTCCGAGACCAGAAAAGACTAGGCCGTACTGCCAAAGTGCGTGTTAGGAAAAGGAGCCCTGATTTCGATGACTATGATAAATAGGACTACTAGTAATTTATTGATAACTTGTCAAGTAGTTTTAGGTATTGCTAAGTATTTTGTTTGTTGTTTTCTGCTGCAAAGGATTTGCCATACTGCATTGCTTTACTGTCATTGCCTGGATGCCTCAAGAATAAAAACTTCCCCTGCAGTTGCAATATCTGTCCGTTTACGCGATGTTGTTTGGTACAACAGAGAGAATATAAAATGACGTTATTTAATATGTTAAATTACTTTTATGGACAATCTAAATTTCAATTGCAAGTTTTCTGACTAAAAAGGATCTTGTTCCTCATTATGCAAAACATCGATCCTTAAGTAATGCAGCTGGCAATAACAGAAACTGATGTTAAGGCCAGAAGAGGCGTTCCAGTGAGTTGTGTCACCTGTGACAACGGTGCCCGTAGGTGTACGGGAAGGATTTGTGTTGTGGAACTGTAAAGGAGCCAAAAGCAGACTCCCGAAGTTTTTCTAAACAAACCGTGTGCTCTCTCCTGCCTTAGAGAATCAGCTGTTAACCTAGTGCGGAGCGGCTCTTACACCCGGCAGCCGTGGAGGGATGAATCAAAGGGAAATGAAGCTCCCCATTCTGGTGCACCTACTACCTACGTATCTACCTACTTGAAAAGGTATGTCCAATTCTCTCTTACCTGGGTTCCCAGGCAGCCAGTTCTACTCTTAACACGCCTCCCAACTTCAGCCTTCTGCTTGCTGCTTACTGCATCAGCGTAACTGGCCTTGGGACACTCTTCTGCTGAGAGCAGGGAATAAAAATGAAGATTTGCCGACATTTGTCATGCTAAAGGGTATTTTTAAAGACCATCATTTTTGTTGATTTGTAAATTGCTAAACTGAATTTAAATACTCTCGTTCACATAATTCAAATGCAAAGTGTTTTCTCAGTTTTATGCTAGTATTATGGTTAGATAATAAAGCAAAAATTGGTCATAAAAAGAGAATAAAGTAATTACAGTCTGAAAGCATTTTTCAAGTAGCTATTGACAGGTAAGTTGTAGCTCATCTCTAATTTGGGTTTATAGTAGTCCATGTTTATGACACCATTATCAGCAAAGTGGCAGTGTTCTTGGGCATGACTTACAGCACTTGCTAAGCAGCAAGACTGATGGCTCCAACCATTTTCTTGTGGGAGTACGGAAGCAGTTTCTGCACAGCGTATGTGAAATTGTCGAGGCTGATTGTTGGTAAACTAGGCAAGCAGAATCAGGAAAGCAATCCTGTGCATAACTTCTTTAATTGCCAGTATCTCTTACCCCTTTGGAAGGCAGAGGCTCAGTTTCCTTCAAGTGCCAGATAATGGCTGTCTCTGAATGAGGGGAATGAATGCCCTGCTCTGTTAAGGCAAATAATACATTACTGAGTTTTCCTCTCGGTTGTGAGGAGGGGGATCAGCCCTTTGTGCAAAGTACAGTTCCATCACCTCACTTTTATTTTAGCTAATACTGGAAACCGTCAAAACAGCATGTATAAACATGTCACGCTGCAAAGCCATTTGATCTGTGCTTAACAAAAAAGGCAGAAATATTTCAAGGTTTTAGATTGTGTTTCACCAAATTCCAGACCCTGAACTAAATAACTGTCCTGAAGATGGAACAATTGCTTGAGATATTTGGGAAGAGGCGGATTTTTTGTGTTCTAGTATTTAGGCTGGTAAAGGTAAGTTGTGCTCAAGGGTATGTCTGTCCAATTGCTGAGCACAGGCAGACCCATTTCCACAAAAGGTGAAACAGCCACTTCAAGCAGTAGACTCCGGATCTGCTGATCCATTCCAGTGACTTCACATCTATCCTGGGACATGATGACAGGCCAGCCTCCATAGCTTGTCTCTCTCTAAAGGCAGTCCGACCAGCCGTGGCTGATTACATTGGAAAACTTTGTCTCTTGCTGCTGGCATGCATTACTGTTCCCTAATCTGAGAGACGGTCCAGTCGCTAACATCACTGACGTGGCTGTCCATTAAACTTTACAAACATTGACTGCTTATCTCGGCTAATCCCGAACCAGATTTAGTGATTGCATTCGCATAGTTGTACAGTTTACCAAGGAAATACAGTACAGAGACCAGCGAAGGCTTTGCCTGGCAGTGGTATTTCACTAATACCGATTTGTTGTCACAAAGGCTGAATTCTGGCCTTTCATAGGAGAGCGTTGGTTTACGAGCAATTACAGAGAATAGCTTTGCCAGGTAGAAATAAAGTGTACTTTTTTTAGAGATCAATGGTTTTGCATTGTATGCACAAACGGTAAAACCATGATCAATTTGACCTCTATCACGTATGGTTTTCTACAGAAGAGCACAGAGAAATTAAATGTAATTGAATTGAACCCCTGATTTCTCCAGCCTTGTGCAGCAGCCTCTAAGATGAGGAAGGGAACCTGGTTGCCTGTTAAAGGATGAGCTCTTTGTCATTGCCAACTATTAACAAAACTCTGAACGCAACTCCAAAAGATAAGAGCTTGTTCTGAGAGAGGAAGAATTAAAGTGAACACGACGTACTTGGATGTTACTGAGAGGATGACTTCTGTACATCTGCAGTTACCCTTTACCTTAGCATTTAACTAATCTCAATAAAGGTACTTAGTTACGTTCTGTAAGTGCTTTAAATGACTCCCAAACAAAGAGTAAACAACAGCATCAGATCATCTTAAGATGTTGAAAATGGCTTTTCTTCTAAAAGGGGACAAAATAACGTGCAGCAATGTTGCAAACGTGCTTTAGTTGAAGCAAATGTTAAAGTGCTCTCTGTAATGGTAGCGACTGTCATTCATTCTGCTTTCTCTGTGGGGGTACCAGTAGCCCAAAAATTCACAGAACCCTGTTCCGACAGCCTGTTCTCCATTTCAGTGCCTATTGGCCTTCAAACAGCCAGTTGCCATCTCCTGTATATGAAAGGATTTGGAGGAAAACTGGCATAGCAGATTGGATTAATTCAGCGTGCTTCCTTTGACATCAGCCATAAGGGATGCCTCACAGGAAGGGATTGCACACACCAAAATGAAATAGCTTTTTCACACAGTTAGCTTCTCCTTCATTTTACATATTTGCAGATACACCTTCTTACTGGTTTTGTTTGCATAAAAACCATCACAGCGAGTCAGGCCAACAGTCCGTGCAGCCCAGATGCTGCTTCTGACAGCAGCTGGTTCTGAGGGACAAGTTGCAAAAGCCAGGATAACTTCAGAGCAGTCTTCCACCTCCCATGCTCTCCTTGCTTCCAGCAATCGTGATTTTAGGAGCCAGGGGTTATACTTAACCGTTGTTCTTAATAGCCACCGCTGTGGCCAACTTCCATAAGCAAATCCTGTTTTGATCTCTGCAATGCCCTATGGCAGTGTGTTCAAAAAAATAGTTAGGGGCTTTGTGCAAACCTTTTTTATTAGCATTTGTGGAAGCTTTTTAAGGTTTTGAAGGCTTTTAAGATTTTGAATTCTACTTGCCTTAGCTGTTCTCCGAAGTGTTTCTTTTTATTGATTTGAAATGTTGCTTTCCATTTCATTGCTCATTCCCTGGTGGTTATGTTATGGTGATTATGTTAGAGAACGAGTAGCAGTGTGTCAGTGCCTTTTTTATTTCTAACATTAAATTCTTTAGCATAAATTCATAATCTTCCTTTTTGCAGATCCATATGAACACAGCTGTTAATTAACAAGATTCCCCAGCTAACCACCTTCTTGCAATTTTCTGGTCCCGTTCACATCAAATGTGAACAATTGAATAAATGCCTTAGAGTCCTCCGCAACGTGTGCAGTGCCACCCGTGCAAGGTGACGGGGTGGGGAGGTGAATTCCTGTAGAGCTGGCAATGCCTCGGCTCCCTTCTCGTGAGCAGGAGCGTGTGCACGATGCCCCAGCACCACGTTTCTCTGACCCGGGGCATGTGCACGTAGGAGTTGTCACAACACCATCACCACGCTCTTTTCCTCCGTTCCTCCTCCGTCTTCCCCTCTCAGCTCCCCCACATCTCTGCTCTACCAGGCACCTGGTGCTGCTTCCACCCTCTTGTCTCACCTTTCCCACCCGAAAGACAGTCCTTGTCAGGTCTTACTTAGTAACCCTCCCGTGTCCTCCCTTCCTGACCAAGTTCCTTCTCTTTTTTGCAGCCACCCCTCGTGCCACAGCCTCTGCCTTGGGGTCTCCTAGGATGGCGCCACATCAACCCGGCTCCCCCCAGGGTTGCCACCACCTCTTCCCCTGCCGTTCCTCTTGTTCCTTGCCCTGGCGCACGCTCTCCTACCATCGTCTTCTCAGTACACTCATTTCTGCAACTTCATGGCTGCTTGCTCTGCACGCCCACACCAGCCAGGCTTAGCTCCCCGCTCTCGCCTCCTCCCAGCCCGTCTCCAGGGCTTGGCCTTTTCCTCTGGTGCAGAGCGCCAAGAAGGGAGGCACTTGCTTCCAACAGGACTTCCTGCTCCCCGGTGCTCCGGGCAGGGGCCGGCTTTCCAGAGGAAGCTTTGTTTAGTGTCCGGTGGAGGTTGCTACCTGGTGACAATAACTTACTTGTTCCTTTGTGACCTCGATATGGCAAACAGCCATCAACTGAAGAGCCCAAACTTAAGGTTCCTCCCCATGGAGGCCTTCCAGGATGCCCCAGTCTCTCCTTTGGCTGTCTAAGGACCAGCTGCTTGTTCTGGGCTGGCTGGGGGCCTTGGCTTATAAAACTGATTTATAAACTGGGTGCAGAAGTGGATTGGACTGGATCCTTCCTCCGACCTCCTGTCCTTGGCTGTTGTCCTGCCCCTTTCAAGTTTTATTTCAGCCTTGGGCTGCTCTCTCAGACTCTTGCTCTAGTGTTGACTTCCAGTTCCCGTCTGTTGTCCCTGGCTTTCCCAGAAACCTGCAGCTCTTTGTCCCAGTCCTCTTTTGCTCTAGGTCAGCTTTTATTCCTGGTACAACCACTCTCCTCCATGCTCCGTGTGTGCTGGCATGGGAGTCATTAGGATGCAGGAGGTGAGAGGCAGCCTTCCTAGCCTTTGATCCTGCAGACAGCCCAGTCTGACCAGTAGCAACCAGGAATACCAGTTGCTGGGAAAGGCGTGGCAGGGTCCTAGGTCATGCATGCGTGCTCGTTTGCTCTGTGCAGACAGCGAGCAGCCCGTCTGTGGGGCTCCGGCACATGCAACAAGGAGATTTTGCCAGATTTCATCAAGTCTGTGCAACTTCACCCACTTGGGGTGGGTTTTCTCTGAAAAAGCGAAAGGGTGCGTCCTCGTAGGAGAGCCCTCCTCCTTTTCTCCTGTCTCTTCTCCAAAGTAGGAGCACTTAAACACTTAGAGCTTTTCAGTAATAACGGTTTTAAGGCGTTTGTTTTAAACTGGCAAAATATGTATTTCCGTTGCTCATTCTTGAATATTTTTGGACAATTTTGCTAGCTATTTTCCAGAAATACAGAGTTTGTGCCAAACATGCCTTAAAGAAAATTAAAGCCTGAACCGATCATCTTTGCCAAAGCTTTAAGCCACTGAAGACAAGTTCTTAAAACTGGAAGTCCTGGGCATCCTTAGGAGGTGATGCAGCCAGACCTGCTTATGTCACTCTCTCCTTCCCTGCTTTAAGCAACCTCATCCTTGCTCGTTGTTTCTGCCTTTCCCCAGTACGCAGGGGTGCTCTCTGTGCACCGCTTTCACTGCCATAGGGTTTTTCCCTTCCCTGATCTTCACCGATTCACCTCCACGCCGTTATTCTCTCACTGAAACTCCGCTGGGCTTAGCTAAGCGGGGTGCTGCTAGCGCCAGCCTGCGTGAGCAACCTGCGGCGACTCTGCTGTTCTCTAATCTCCTTGCAAACGTTTTGCTAAGATGTAATACTTGCTCCCTTTCCAGCTGAGAGCCCAGCTGTGGTGATGTTCTGTTGAATATTTACTGTGCTCTGAAGGACGTGATTTTGTGATGTTTTACAGTGCTTCATTTGGTAGAAGTAGTGACCTCAGCAGTCCCTACATTTCAGCCAGTCGCAATACATCTCTAGCTACCTCACCCACTACCATGGGTTCATCTACCTCACTGGGCACCCCGTGGCAACCTGTCTCTTCCTGTCCCACATCTCTCGGTGCGAACACTACTGCATCAGCCCGCCAATATACCAGGTAACGGCTCACAGCTGAGGTAACGCTGCAGAAAATCAGCATTTGGGTTGGAAGTTCTGAATTCTGGAGTGGATTGTGGATTATGGATTGGAAATGTGCTTCCACATGGGAAGCGCCGATAAGAAAGCCCAGAATGGTTACGTTGGACGGTTTCAGTAGTGCCTATGCACCAGCAGGCAGTTCGCAGCCCGTGTGTGACCTTAGCTTCTTCACCCACCGGAGCGGGTGGTTGTGCCCTCTTGCTACCCTGTTAGAGACGCAATGTGTTGCTCAGGCTGCTCTTGGGCGTTCAGTGCACAAGCTCTCGGAGTTCACTCCTTCTGCTTATTCACCAGGTACATTTTCTAATCATTTTTGCTACAAACAGGGGTGTGAAGACTATGAATTCCTCCTGCTTATTCTTCAAGTTTTTAAAACCTCATTTGAATGTGTGCTGCTCTCTACAAAAACACGAGTCTGGAACGAGGAGAATGAACTGGCAATGCTCCCTGGAGGGGGCTGGTCTCGGTCAGCAGTCGAGTTCACTTGCTTTGCTTTCCATTATGTCTTCTCTATTTCAGAGCCCCTTTCAGGCAACAAACTGATTCTGCTGTAGAGAAAAATACAGAGGGCATCTCTGCTAGCACCCCCCTAGGTGTAATCACAAATCGTGCTATACTCGGCTCTGCTAACGGTATTGCGAATGCCGGTGCTGCCTCAACTACAGGAAAGGACTTCTCAGCTGAGGAAGCCAGGGAGCGCAGAAGGTTAGTGAGCAGAGTGCCGGTGTGTGGTGGTCCTCCTCTGTCATCAGGTCTCACGTGGTGGTGATGGTGGGGGTGTGAGAACGGTTTCTTAGGTGCTGTGTGCAGTTAACAGGCCGTTGCCCCTGCTCCATCTTAAGGTTTTGAACTGAGTCATCGCTGGATTGTAGGTTAAATTGAGTTTCATAATTTTCTACTTGTCTTTTCAGCATCTCAGCCTTTTTCTTCAGTAGTCCTCTCAGCTGCTAATCTCAGTCCCTAAGGCCTCTCTGTATAGAGGGACAGACAGCCCAGTAGCTGCTTGCAGTAGGTTCTGTAGCATGAATCCCATCTGAGAAAGAGCATTGGACTGAGACATGTTCAGATAAAATCCATCCCTCTGATTCTGCTCAGCAAAGTTTCCGTATGCCCCAATGGAGGCACCTTTGCTGTACAAGTCCCCTGGACTCCCTCTGTAGCTACTGGGAGAAGACAAACATTCCTGGAGCGTGTAGACGTGCGGTACAGGAGGAGATGGACCGCACTCGGGCAGCCTGCGTTTCTTTTGATTGACTATAAAGGAAGACTTGGCACAGAGGTAGAAGTCTACCGTGTGCAACCGAGGCTGTCCCGGCAGCAGCAGCATTTTGAATTACTCTGAATCTAAGTGGTGGTATCTCTTTCTTATCGTATGATGTTATTTTAGGACTGGGGAAATATAAACCTGGGGTAGCCGGTGCTCTTCTCAAAGGAAATTTACCTTGTGCGTTTAAGTACAGAATATCAGATCATCCATATTTATTCCTGCCAACAGGTTAACTTTTGCAAGATCTGTCTCTTCTGATGAAAGTAAACGGTAATAAATAAAATGCAGCAATGAACTGTGTATTTCTAACTAGCAACCAGTTCGAGGAGTGTTTTCAGTAACTAGATTCTTCCAAACTAAAATAACAACTTCTTAAAATACAGACCTTCCTGGCTGGAGACTGCATTCTGACATATTTTAAATGGCCTGAAGCCAAAGGATGTGAAAAGCACTAATGGAAATTACCAGCTTGCAAAGATGAAGATGGTGGAGCTCAGCAGCACCACGTCGTCTGCAGCCAGCTACCTGGCCTCTCCCGTGGAGGGAGGGCGTGCTTGCTGCCGGCTTCTCTTTGCTTCAGCTGCGGCAGATCCGGGAAAGAAGGCGGTCTGTGCTAGTTGGAAAATACTCAAACTTTTAATACTGTTTGGGCTTTTTTTTTTTCTTTTTTTTCCCGAGCTAGCACAGGGAGCGCTTTGAAGGTATTGCAAGCATTCTGGGTGAGCGACATTCATCAACTCGGTATGCAGGGACGTGCTTTGAAATAGCTACTGCAGAGTATCTTTGTCTGTAAGAACACTTAGGTTTAATATTAGCTTCTGTACGCTCCTCGTCATTTTGCTAGGGGTCAGTTGGCTTGGTGTCATTTGCAATTGAATTGAGATGAGCTGCCAAAAGATACTCCCGGTGCAAAGTGAGATTATGCAAAAGAGGACAGAGCGAGTATTGTGCTTTCAGTTCACACTTCAGGCCGTTTCACAACAGTATCTCCATTTTGGCAAGCCCAGAATCGAGTTGCAGAAGCTTTCGGTTTTTCCCAGGAGAAGTGGGCTCCACAAAACCCACCAGACTTCTGGCACTGGCTGCAGACGGGGAACTTGACTGCGATAGTACTTGTAGATGCCCAAAAGAGCATCTATTAATATTACTGCATTGGCATTTATTGCCGAATCAGTTTCTATAAATAATATAGAAGATCTGTTTAAGTCTCCTGCATTTTATTAGAGAACCGTCTCCTATGAATTATGGTAATGTAAAGAGAAACACCAGAAAATTCCTCCCACCTTTCACTGATGCTTTGAAACTACCGAGAGGGAAGAAAAGCACAGCAATGATGCATTGTGCTCGTGGGTGGAGGAAACCTTATTTATGAACGCATGTTCTGACAGCGGGATACGCTGACTGGGGAGCTGCCTGCACATTTTGAACTAGGAAACACGGACCTAGAGAAAGAGGAGAGGTCACCTAAATGGGAAGAGCTTATTTTGGAAGGAGACCAATTCCAGTAAAATAAAATAAAAACGGAAAATGGCAAACAGTTGTCAGGGAAGCACTGTATGGATTTCAGTTCCCACTGGCAGCTGTTGCAGTAGCATTTGGTCTGCTTCAGTGTTTCCAAAGCTCCAGCTTTCTCTTAGCAACAAAAACATAAACAAGCTTATCATCTAATATTAGATCACAGGGATGTCTCCTAACTTGTGGTCTTAAATTATCTGCGTGAAGCCAAAAGGTTAAAGCAGAAGAGACTGCTGGGTCTGGGGAGGAGCAACAGCAAAGTGCTCTGGAGTGCTGGTTTGCATCCCTTGCGGCCAGCAAGCCTTGCCCTGGCCCACCGTAGCGCTTCACCCGTGGTGTTTTACTCGCTGCTGTATGCGAGCTAAATTGGTCAGCAAACGCTCCAGTAGCTGGGAAATAGCGTGCATCATGCCTCAGGTCGTTACAAAGGGGAGGAAAGAAAAAACAGAAAAGAAGGCAGCGCAGGAAAGGCGTTCGGAGGAGCGCGGTGCAGTCTGTCTGCCCGGCCGGCCCGTGGGAAAGGGCTGCCTGCTGCTGGAGCCGTCCGGCCTGGACGTCCCGCCAAGCTGCTGCTGCGCGTATTTACGTGTCCCCAGCTGCACGTTCAGCCTCCCTTCATTCCGCTGCAGCACTGCGGTGTGCTGGTGCTGAGGGGCTGGAAACATGCCATCTTCCAGAGTCAATATTTTTGCCAGGCAATTTCTTTTTCTTTTTCATGGGAATTTGGGAGGCAGTGATGAACATTTGCTGCTTGGCCGTTTTGATGAGCTCCTGCCAGCATCAAATTGTCTCACATTGCAAATGCATTTGTCCAGCTGAACTCAAAACGGCCCTGGCTCTGCTAAGGGTGAACTACAAGCGCGTGGATGCTGTGCCTACAGCGTCTCACGTAGACCCTGGTGCAAAACTAACACCGTTTTCGTTTCCGCTTGGTGCGAGCAGGTGGTGGGGACTCGGGGGGTGTCCTGGTGGTTCCAGCCCGCTGCCGGATTATCCACCTTCATCCAGGATGACAGCGGCCTCTAGTGCTACCGAAAGCTCCTTTGCAAAGTTCAGCTGCGACCTTGTCCCCGTGTAGTTTCAGTGCAGGGCTCTGTGGCCACATCTTCTCCTGGAGTCCTGTGCTGCAGCCCCTCTCGAGAGGGTTCCTCCTGTCCTCCAGCGCTGGGGGCTGCTGGGGGCTGTGTCCCCTGCGCGCAGAGGGGTCTGCAGGAGGCCTTGCCAAGCTGGAACGTGACTTTGCCATGGAACAGCTGGTGCTGAAAGGAAGGTCTGGGTCTTGCTGAAGCCTTTCATATTGTATGAAAGCTTTGGTTCCCAGGACAGATTGCAAGGCTACCGTGCATCCCGCAGCTCGTGGTTAGCTGTCGCGTGGCGTAGGACAAGCTTTACCCAGGAACTTCTGCAAGGCAGCTCCCGAGTCTGTGTTCTCAGTTGTGTGACCAGTTTAAAAGGACACTCCTGAATTTGAAATCTGGCCTGGTTTTGTAAAAATTAGGATTTTAATTTGTCCTTCCTCTCTTTTTTTTTTTTTCCCCCAGCCACTTTCTTTATACAATTGCATTCTGCAATTATATTTGTTCTTCCTGTTCCTCGGGAAGGTTCCAGCACGGTGGTGGCACTTGCCATTGGGCAAGCTGTTAGTTAGAGACAGGAGACACCGCGCTCTCCTCCTTGTTTTTTCATGCGCGCTGACCAGTTTTTCAGATAAGGCAAGAACAGGAGTGAGGTGGGCTTGTTCTCCTGGCAGCTCTGGGGCTGATGGCTGTGCTCAGCCGGGCGTCTTCCCCCCAGGTGTCCCCTAGACATTTTTTTCAGATGAAGAAAGTCCACTGACATGCAAGGTGAATGTGTCTAGCAAACATTTCTCTTTTCTGCTTCATTCCCAAGAGGAATTTATTTTTCATTCTTCGTTCCTTCATTCTGAGGATCCAGCTGCTAATTATAGTAGCATATACTAATAATATATTAATAACTGAATCCTCCTCCACCAGTACTGTTAGATGAACAATTTTTGGCAAGTCCTTTTACCTCGTGATTCTTGTCCTGTCCAAATTCAGAGCATGACTCCTCTAGGGTGAACACAGATGCCCGATATGTCTGTTAACCCTTATTATCTGCCAAAAAAATAAGAAACCCCGGTCTCTGGAAAAGTGAAACTATGGGATTTAAACGTCACTTGCGAGGAACTGGTAGAAAAAGCTGTGAGCGTTGTCTCGCTACCACCTTGGGGGTTTTTCGGTAGTATTTGACCCTGTAATCCTTGTCCCTGACTGATGTAAAGCTGCGTGGTCTTAATTCCCCTGGGAAGGGTCCCTGGGAAGCGGGGTGGTGGGGACACTCGTGCAAAGCGCTGCAGATTCCCATCCGCACTACGCAGCGGACAACAAAAAGTTAAGAGGTCTCTCTCTGGTGAAGAACTGAACAATCATCTGGCACCTGCTGTTGAAAGCATTTATCTGCCACGCTTCTGCAGTTAATCTCTTTCAGATAAAGTTGTCCTTTTTTTAAAAGGCTGCTGGTGCAGATGACGTGGGAGGGCAGCAATTCTGCCGGCCATCGGATTGTCCATGTTGGGAAGAGGCGAGATTGCTCCTGCTGTATCAGAAATCAGGCTGCATTTTTATTTGGAAAAAGGTCGAGGTGTGGGATGGGGGTCACTGCTGCTGAGCCCTCTTTCCTGTAAAGAAGGCGAGCAGGGGTGCTGCTGCGTGCTCAGCTGCCGGCTGACTTTATCCAGTGCTCAGGGGAAGGGCGGGGGGGGATATTTTGGCATTTGCTTTGGGCGGAGGAGCCCCGGCTGTAGGTTGGCCTGCTAACTCAAAGCGGGAATATATGCGGGATCCTCCAGGAATGGTCAAGGAAACGAAGCAGGGACCACTTGAGCTAACCAATGTAAAAGAACTGCAGCTTGGCAGCATGG